TGTGCTGTACTGGGCTGTGCTGTGCTGGGCTGGGCTGGGCTGTGCTGGGATGGGATGGCAGCAGAAGTAGATTGGATCTAGACTTCTGCTTTACATCTGTCTCTAATCCCTGATCCTAATCCATTCACATAGACACACACACGCACACACACACACACACACACACACACACACACACACACACACACACACACACACACACACACACACGGAGGGAACAAATTTTGTTATTTATATGAAACAGAAAACATGATCATAACAATTGTATTCCTTAATGAAAAAGTTGGTGTTCAACAGCAGAGAATCCGGGAGCATAAAAACACACAGTGGTGATAGTAATGTTAGTGTTTGAGGTACTAGTACTTGAATATGTCCATTTCATGGTACTTTGTTATTATTACTCTGCTTCTGCTCCGATTCAACACAGAGAGAAATATTGTACTTTACATGATGATCTTTGAAAGATGTCTAATTGTTACAGACTAAAAGTATCTAACCGGATATATAACCACACACATGAACTCCTCCACGACCAGCTACAGCAGTCTGAGTAAAATGATTATTAAAAAACTATAACTAGAAACGTAACGGAGCAGAAAAGTAGCATGAAATTGAAATACTCAAGTGAAATATAAGTACCTGAAATTTGTAAATTAATATTCCACCACTGCTGATATTATTACATTTGTGCTTTTGTCATATTGTTTGTGCTGATTTCAAATGTACTACTACTAATAATAATACATCAAATTTATATAGCGCTTTTCAAAATACCCAAAGACACTTAAATCCGCATTTAATGATGATGAATCTGTGAGAAACAATCATAGGCGACCGCAGTGGCAACATCAACAGACTCAAATGAAGAATCCTCTTCAAGCCCTCATCATTTCACTTTCTATGCTTTTTGCCATCTCTCTGTGGTGTGTTTCAGTTGTTTTATTATTTTTATTGTTTCTTTAATGTCAACATTTATTTTGTCTTATAAATGTTTGCTTAATGTTCTCAACGAGGAGAAACGCCTTATTACCCAGAACCCTCTGTGTGGTTTTATCACAGTTACCGTCATATTGTTGAAGCTCGATCATTAAAGACTTTACGATGGAAAGAAGATAATGTTGATTTTATTGATCTGATTAAGTGAAAGCGTGTAATTGAGAGTGTAAAGTGTGTTAAGGGGGAAAACAATAGATCCCAAGATCTGCTGAATCATAAAAGCACAAGGTACATGAGTTTAAATTATGTCTAAAACAGAAGTTTATGGCATCAGAGCAGCAACATGACTGAGTCAAGTGTAATCATGGCTCATGCTCATGTCTAAACACAAGGCGGCGCCACTGACTCACGCACTGAGTCAGTGAGTGAGGAGCAGCCTCCTGTGTCCAGTAACACAGTAATATGCTTCAAACAAACATTCCCAGAACACAACGAGCATCCACTGACGTGTACAAACAGGAGATACATCTTTTGTGTGACAATTATCTTATTTAATGCAAGAAGCAAGTTAACAACATGAACAGGGTCCCGTGTGATCTGAAGTACTGGAGCATTATGGGATGGATAATGACATCAGGCAGGCTGCTAGTTCATTATATTGCATGTCTGTTGAACAGGGATCGAATGGGCTCAGTGTTTGTTTAAAAGCTGTTGTTTTTTAATGATAAGATGTTCTTTATCCTGCAAACGTGCCTTTAAATACGTTACATTAAATGCATTGCCTCCAGAAAAAAACGACATCTCTCATGAGTTATGATGCAAAGAGGTAAATATCATGAGCACAGTGTTGCCTTTGTGCTCCGCACAAATCTGATTATTTAACAGACAATTTGAACATATATGCTGTTTGTCATTTGACAGTTTTTCTGGTGAAAGAGACCAATGGAATGAGAATAAGCACCTCAGTTGATGCTAGAAGGGTCAAACAAAAAGACGATATCACACTGCATCATGGGAAGCGTAGGATTCAAGGTCTTTGGAGCTTGACTCATATTAGGAACTAAAGATCTGGATCTTTTATCCGCTTATATTTCCATATTGACCATCAACTTTACGCAGGTACATTTCTAAATCGCTTTAAGCTTTGAACCTCAAAACAAAACAACATTTCCATTAAAACGTGCATTACTCCGGTTGCCGCTGCAGCTCTGCACTTCCCACAAATCACCTGTCAATAAAACCACGTGGGCGGTCTCGTCTGTGACATCTCCTTCCTACATTTCCTTTTGTCGTTTCTGCATGTAGGTGGCAATCTCTTCTTTATGATTTTTCCACATTACCGTCTGAACTAAACGTGAAGCGTGTCACTGCCAGAGGAGCATCATGAGAGACCGTGTGTGTTTAGAAAAGCAGATGTGGGAAAATAAAGATGTGTTTGGATGAATAGTTGTTACTTTTATGATATTTGATGAAAGCAATGATCTGGATGGTAGTCTAGACATCAGAGAGGACTGACAGAAAATAAGAGAATGTGAAAATCAGTTGGGAACAGACAACAAACCGGACACTAAACAACACAAAACCATCTTTATTCGGCGAATCCCTAACCCTCCTCGCAGCTCTTGCTAAAACTATTAGCGAGTCCCACTTTGTCTCAAGTCTGCTTCAAACCTTTCATATCTTGCTTGGCAATCCTTCCTTTGAGAGACGATGCTACAAATAAAGCCACAGCGAGAGCCTGAGGCAACATCAACTATCCATCACGGCTGAGTGGGGAGAAAAGACAGAAGCTGCATCTCAATAAAAGAGCAGCACTGTACTCTCTTCAGAGGCCTTTAGCTTTAAAACCACAGAAGAAACAGACGGAGTCATAATGTAGACGCTTCTCATGCAGCACCGCGCAGATATCTCCACCCAGGCTTCAGTGGTTCAATGTAAAGCATTAAAGACTACACACTATATCATGAGATCATTATTATGATGCATTCATGTAAAAGCAGGATTTTGTTGTAGTTGGTTGAGGTCAAGATCATTTTGAACTATTTACTCATTTTCATTATGAATTAATCTGCTGATTATTTTTCCCATTAGTCGATTGATTATTTGAGTTGTGAAAATGTAAAATATAGTGAGAGATGCAGTCACCATCACCCAGAGCTGCTCCAAACACATTCAAATTATTACAATTATTAAAAGGAAAAGCATCAGATCTTCACATGTAAGAAGCTGGAACCATGAAATGTTAAAAATGACTTGAAATGATGATCAAAATATTTGATTGACTGATCGCTCCAGCTGTTCTCGTATATACTGTTGTGTAGTTTCATTTAAAACATCTTCATATGTTTTGTATTGAATATTGACTAAAGCTGTCAGATGAATGTAGTAAAGTAAAGTACAATATTTCCCTCTGACATGTAGTGAAGTACAAGTATAAGAGAAAAGAGAAGACTCAAGTTTTAATTCCCTCTGCCGATCCAACATGACTGCTTTTTCCTTTTATGCGAGTTCAGATCTTGGTTAAAGTTCGTCAGTTCAGTCTTCAGCAGAGACGGCTAACCCTTACCCCACATATGAAGAAGCTCGCTGGCTGTGTGAATGATGAATGAGACGGCTTTAATTAAATGTGTGCACTTAAAGGGAACTCTGCACAGCACGCCGGGGCCGTATAGACTTCATCCCCCAAAGGCGGTTTGGTTTCTTTTATGCTGGCATTAAGTGAACCAAGCGTCATGGCTGCACCACACAGCAGCCTGCACTGCTCTTTAAACACACGGCGCCTCTGACAACGTTAAACATCTCAGAAAAGTGCTGCAAACACTTGGGCATGCCATGTGATAGTGAGGGATGCTTTGTGAGCCGTGTCTGTCAGTGACATGGATGAGAATTCACCAGAAATACTTTGTCTCAGATCGCACTGGCTTATGAGAAAGTGTCCCAACCTCGCCCCCGATTCTCTGCTGAGTGAATGAAGGTTCTGTGTCTGCCGGAAGTATCTGTCATCTGGATCCTGGATAGCTTGTACATGCGCTAACACCTTCAGGGTTAAAGGTCGAATCTCTATTGGGGTTTTAACCGATAATAAAGGCAGCGGAACACAAACAGCAGTGGGGAAAAGTAACAGGAATCCGGGAATTGACCTTTAATGCCTTTAATAAATCTTCATAAAATCAACAATACCAAAAATAAAACACATGAGTGAAACAGCTTATCACGAGAAGCTAATGCTAACGCGACTTCAGTGCTCTGCACATTAATCTATTGTTTATTGTATTGATACGATATAAAATGTATACAGGTTTTCATTTCTCTTGATCCTTGAAGTACATTTTGCATTTACAATACTAATACTTTACATTACTAATACTTCAGCACAAAAAAGCTGAATTGAATTCACCTTCTGGTTAGTCAAGTTCCTGCAAGGGTTAGGGTTAGTTCCTACAAGGAAGCAACCTCCGGCTCTGAGGAGTGACGTCAAAGCTTCATGTGTTGAAGCTGCATTCTCTCTAATGTCCACCAGGGGGCGACTCCTCTGGTTGTATAGAAGTCTATGAGAAAATGACTCTACTTCTCTCTTGATTTATTACCTCAGTAAACATTGTAAACATGAGTTTATGGTCTCAATCTCTAGTTTCAAGTCTTCTTCAATGCAGCATGATGTTCATTTAGTACATTATGGTCCATTTAGAGTCACACAGACCATAAAGCAGGGGATGCTTTAGGGCGGGCTTACTGTGATTGACAGGTCGCTATTCAACAAGAGCCCTATACATCATATCTACGTCACTCCTCCGCCGTCCAAATATGGTCACTTCTGTTCGCTGGTTACAAAAAAGCCAAGATGAGCTACCATGGAGCCACACTGTCACTAACTACACTCCCTGCATAAATATAATGACAAAAGACAGAAGGATCAACAATATGTGTTTGAAGGATTCAGGATATCAAAGTTATTCAGCAGCGAAAACTGCCTAAAAATATAAAGATAGAAGCTAAAGGCCACAGATCACAGTGAAGAAGTGAACAAACACATCACCTGGTGATGGAGACATGTATCATTTCAATGGTCTTATCACAAAAACTTCACTTCTTCTCAGCTACGTTGCCTAATGGCGACACCTTTAAGACAATGGACTCTCAGTAAAACAATGGAAAAGGTCATTCAGTGAGCCATAGTTGGATTTCCAATTGTGGTAACAGTATTGCTACATACTTCAACCTTCCAGAATCTAAATATTTGAGGAGAACAAGAGTGTGAGACAAACACGAGTAATGACAGCAACGTCTTGTAAAAGCAGGATCAGTGTGATCAGTCTTGAAGATGGAGCTATCCTCCTGAGAATCCTCTTCTTTGTCTCATTAGTGAGATCATTTCACCGGCATGCAGAAACATCATCTGTCAGGGGGGTTAAAAAGCTTTCTGTTGGAGCACTTTTGGACGTTGCCGTAAAAGTTAATTAGACAGCTATACAACGGGCGTCCTGGTCATTTATTCTGTCCTATACCGCTATCATGGCCTGCAGGTTATTAAATGCAGGAGTCTGTCAGTGCCTTTAAATTACATTTTTTTCAAGGATTAAATGAAAAGCTGGTGAAGCTGCTTTTACCGTGAACACTCACCTCTTTTAAAAGCAGCCTATGATCAGGTTTCATCCTGTTTGTCTGTAAACGCTCGGCCTAAACTCTTTTGTTTTTTTTGTGAATACGGCTCCACTCTTTGTATTTGTGTTTGTTACAAGCAGATGTTGGAAGCAGAGTCAATAAATATAAATATTTAACCCATCGTGGCTAAATACTCATCTTTGTAGTGTTTTTTCTTTTCAGCTAATCTCTGTTATTTTCTGCTGCTGTGACACTTTTCCCTGCATGTTAGAAATAAACGTACCTTGTCTTATTAAACAATAAATAACAGGCTACTGATGTAAAAAGTGTGTAGTTTGAGCCAATCTACGTTTACACAATTTAAGTCAGTCAGTGTTTTTACATTTCTTACATTAAGATGTATTCCAGGTTACAAGCACACATCACAGCGTCTCCATCTTTAATTCATGTTGAAGGAGAAATGTGGGAGAAGTTATTTAGTACTTTTGTCTTTTAAATAGACTCCTTGATTGGCTGAGAAAAAGTAAATGATGTCTGTTATTCAGTATCTGATCTGCTGGTTAACTTTTATAACGACAGTGAATAATGATGAAAAACCAAGTGACCCAAGGGCAGACGTTTGGAGACATGGTCCATTGTCAATGAATAAATCATGTGCCGGAGCACAATCATGATGAAGAGCTTTAGAGGCTTGTCTGTTTTTTCTCCCCGACCTGTAACCTTTCTTTTCACTCAGGCAGACTAAAATGTCAAATCTGCTGGGGCGTCGGAGCCACAGACGGCCGCTGCTTTACTGGTAAACACACAGACGACTAAAAGCAGGTTTCTTTTCACGACCGCTGAAAGGTTAGACTGTTGACCAGGTCATGTGGGCTGGTGCTGGGCAGCTGACCATCCTCTCTCTAGTACGTATATATCCGACCAAAACCATTTATACTTCAAGAAACACTGGTTTTAAGTCTCTGGCTTCTCATTTTCACTAAAAATGTAAATAAATGGTTTCTACAAGAAATCTAAATGAACTCAAACTACACTTTAGTGAAGACTCAGAGACATTTATATCACTTTATTTATACTTTGATTTAGTTTTTCTGTCTATATATCGTGTTGTAAGTTGATTGTTGAATACAAACAATGTGACAAACAATATTGTTTTTCATTTTACTTTCATCCATTTATCACCTAAATTGTTTATAACACTTTAAAATATAGTTATAAGCAGATATGATGACATTTTAAAGTGTTTATTAATGTATTTACAACCTTTACAAGAAACACTTTACTTAAATTGCCCCTATTTATCATCTATAAGCAGTATAAATATATAATAAAGGTGTTATAACACTGGCGTTGTACACACAAGATCTGAGTACTTTCTCCACCACTGCTTATACATCATTGAAAGGTTTAAACAGCACTTAAGTCAAACTTCCTGGAGTTTCTTTTACATATAAACTGAACATAATAGTGCACGATGCACTTTTATGGCACCTTGTCTGTTAGCGTGACTGAGACTCTGCAGTCATTCATGCTGAGAAAGAATAAAGACAAACATTGACCAGCTTTGGCACCACTACTTAGTAAAACAGCCAAACTGTTGCTTTCACTGAAATATTATGATTGACCTAAAACATGCAGCTGGATTACAGTCGTGATTTTAATATGGAGAAATGATCTCTGAAAGTCATCTCTTCTGAATTAAATGGAGAGATTTGATGGTCGAACTGCATTTGATCCGTGATTAAGGAAGACTCAATTATTTTATAGCCTTTGGAGAGGAAAAACCCAGAGCAGTCCATATTTGTGAATGTTTTAATAGCCACGTTATGCACCACACGTACACAGTCACAAGTCACTCCTTGATGCGAGAGTGTCCTGGATATTTACATTGGCTTCATGTTTGTAGATACAAACCTCTAATAACGGTTGACAGTGCAGCAATACTGCAGGCAAAAACAGATATTCAAAATAGATAGAAACGTGTTACATCAAAAAACATTATAGTGTACAAGTTTATTTTACATCTAATCAAGCTCACGACAGCAAACAGCCGTTGAACGAGGGTCTGCACGGTGGGTCAACACACTAGAAACCAGCTGAGAACAAGTTGAACTCTACTGCTAAAAAACAGAACCAAAACAATCTGATTTACAACATCTTCTCCTCTCTCTCCCACGGAACCGGATCCTGCTCCTCCTCCACGTGCGTATTCCTGCGCCCTGTCCAAAAGTGCTCCACATCTGGGAAGTTCTTCTCATTCTCCTTCGAGACCGCGTTGCCGACGGCGTTGGCTCCGACTTCAGCTCCATTCCCCTCCGTTTTTGGACACTTGGTGCTGTGGATGGGCTTTGTGCCTCTGCAGGTGGCGATGAACCAGATGCTGATCAGACCTTGGCGCACGTCGTCGTACATAGTCATCAAGATCACCGGAGAGAGGGAGCTGCATGCGTAAAGGAGGACTTGCGCAAAGATGATCAAACCCACGGGAGGTTTGTTGTACCCAAGCCTGATCCAGGTGAACGTCCCCCACTCTGGCAGCAGCATGAGCCCGAGGGCGCCGCTTAGACACAGTAAAAGCAGGGTAACTTTGCTCTGGTGCTGCGGGTTGGGTGCGTGGTTCACCGCGGTGTGCAGCGCTTTTGTGTAGTAAGCAAGAGTGAAGATGACCGGCACCACGAAGGCTGCAGTTGGATAAATCTTGTAGAACAAACTCATGAAGTCAGACGCGCACTTCGGCATTTCAGAGACGCAAATAGTGTCGCGGCCATGCGGCACCAGAGACGCGAAAAGCATCTGAGGGATTGGAAACATCATCGACACAATCCAAATGAACGCCAGGGCTCCGTGGATCCACGTCGGGCTGTAGAGGGGCCCCGTAGCGGTGCTGGGCACCAGCGTGTGTTTGGCTCTGGTGGTGACTGCAAGGATTAAAGTTTTTGCAATCACACACGAGTGCTGGAACCAGTCCGTGGTGCTGCAGACAAAACTCCCCAGGGTCCAGGTCTGCTTGTAGTAGGTTAGGGCGCGCACTGGGGCGCACAGCAGCAGGATCGCCAAGTCCGTGGAGGCCAGAGAGGCGAGGAGCGCTTTCACCTCGGAGCCCTTTCCGTTTCTGAAGTCACGGATGAAAATCAGCAAAATCAGCAAATTCCCAACTGCCCCGGACACGCAAATCCCGATGAGGATGACAGGTATGGCTGTCCTGGTGTCCTCCCCCTGGAGAAGTTGGACTCCTCCGACGAAATCAAAAAAGGAGACATTTGCTGGTCGATTAATATCCATCCCGAGAGACTTTAAAGTTCGAGCTCCTCGAAGTGGGGAAAAATAAATCGCAGTCAACAAACACAATTAAATGTGTTTTTTTTTCCTTTTGAGTTCCACTTTTCTCCGCAGATTTAAGGTCCTGGAGGAACAGAAGGCGGAGGAGCTGTCCAGGGCGCCGCGGTGCTGAAACGATGCTGACGGGGTCGTGATCGCATCAGCAAGTGGGTGAGCAGGCTGGCAGGTAGGCTATTTCAAGTGCTGCCATTTAGCATCGTCAACCACTCACGTCATTTTGTATCAGTGTGGCTCCAGGCTGCTGCTGCACAAATGTGAGCACAGCGTGATGCGACTTACATTCAAAAACCTCAGAGGGATCACGGCTGGTGTAGCGTGTCAGAAATATGTCAGAGTGCATATTTATCCGACTCCTCTGGATATCTGTCAGTTTCTCTCTTTAGATTCAAATGTAACAGGTGAAAACAGGCAGCAACCTTTACTGGAGTCACTGGCCAATAATTGGCATTTAGTGCAGCTATCTAAAGTGTTTATGCCTAATTATATCATGATGTCTTTAAAGACATGCAACTCCTCATTCGGGACAAATGTCCCTTCAATACATTTAAAATAAGTCTTAATATATGAACATCAAAACAATCCTCTTAAATCTAACTTCTAACTTTGCAAACTGACAAAAAAAAAAAAAAAAAAAAAAAAAAAACTACCTCAAGTTCAGTCAGGGCCAAGCATCAACCTTCCATGAGTCAAACTGAGAAGAATAAACGGCTAAACTTTGGTTTGCTGAGGATCATATTCAGTATCGTATTGTGGCCTTTTAAAGTACATATTCTGTCCATATGTACAATATTTAAAGGTGCTTTAATACATTTTAAGTTACTTTTTAAAGATGAAGAAGCCTAACCCCCACAATTCAATACAGCCCTACTTGGTCTGGTATGACCATCATCTTATGGTAATGTTACCATTATACTACTCTTTCAACTTGTAACCACAGTAACTGCTCTTCAGCAAAACTCCGAGGCCGAGAGTCAGAGTCCACACCTGGGTGGGCGGAGGGGGTCCGGAGGAAGGACGTCCGGATCCAAAAGCTCAGGGGAACCGGACTGGGGAAACAGACAACGGGACTCTAGAGGCCGGGGGTCGGGGGGGAACTGGACTCTAGAGGCCGGGGATCAAGAGGGGAACTAGACTCTAGAGGCCGGGGATCAAGAGGGGAACTAGACTCTAGAGGCCGGGGATCAAGAGGGGAACTGGACTCTAGAGGCCGGGGATCAAGAGGGGAACTGGACTCTAGAGGCCGGGGATCAAGAGGGGAACTGGACTCCGACTCTCGGAGACGGGGCTCCAGGGAACAGGATTCAGATGGTGGCCCAGCCGGGTCCAGAAATGGAAAACGCTGCAGCTCGGAGGCGGCGGCCGGAACTGGATAAAGAAATCAGAACAGGAACACAAGAGGGAATCCACAGACGAGACGAGACGAGACGAGACGAGACGAGACGAGACGAGACGAGACGGAAAATCCAGCAGAATGAGGCGGGGCAGGCAGCCGGGCGGGTAGACACGTCAACGATCTGGCAGTGAGTGAGCGTGTGACTGGGTTTAAATAGTGGATGCAGCACAGTGAGCAGGTGAGAGTAATGAGCTGACGAGGTGGGTGTGACTGGCAGGTGCACTGAATAAACTGATTAGGTGAGTGAGAGATGGACAGAACAGGATAATGGTGGCAGAGCTGTGACAACCCAACTTATAAGGGATCATCATCAAACTTTCTCTTTATCTGTTTATTTGACATGTTAAAGATTAATAGAAGCAGATATATTGTTATCAGATTTTTAAAACTCTCAAATACTGATGTCAGCTTTTGTTTCAGACTTCCAGTATTGATGAGGCGCTGTTGGCACATTGTGGAAAATCCAACACGACACTTTCTTTTTTCTTTCAAGACCTCTCCAGTGAACTGTTGGACCGCCGAACCTTCTGGAAAACATATGCATGTGACTTCACAACACTGCAGACTTGATGTCTTATTAGACAGTGAGAAACCAGTGAGTAATGTTCCATTCCAATAAACCAATTCTGAACCTCTGGGAATCTGCTGATATAAATCTGATACCAGTTCTCTCTTTTCCCAAAATGTACGCTACATGTACCTCCTTGCAATCATTGTTTTACTGTAAAGTAACACGAGGGATCGCTGTGGCACATAAAGCTGAGTTAGCGGCTTGCTGTGACTTCATGACTGTGACTGAATTACCGGATGTTTATAATGGCATTAACAAAGAAACTGTATTGAATGTGCATTACATCATGTCATGTATCAGGGTCACAAATAAATATGAATGAGCTATAGAACGTAACGTTTTAGAGATATTTACACATCATTCAAATATTTAGTAATAAACAAAATGGCAATTCAGGCTCATTATGAGTCTCACAGCGCATGGAGCAGACTGCACCACAGAGTGAGGTGTGTTTACTTGACTTGAAGAGCATCCGGATAATGAAGGGGAGGAAGGGTGGGGTGTGTGTCAGGGGGAGGGGGGTATATGTGGAGAGGTGAGGGTGCCCACTCAAATGCTGTCACCTCCTCTAAGGGAGTCCGTTGCTAGGAGACCGGAGCCACCATCACAGTATGGGGTTAGGAAGATGTGAGGCGTCATGAAGTAGTGCGAGTTGTGGACGGATAGAGAGGCTTTAAAGCGACTCTGGAGCTTCAGATGTAATGAATGAATAATAACAACGGTGTGATTGCAGAGTAGGAAAAGGCTTTGGTGATATTTAGACGGCTGATATAATGGCACAAGCAGGGATGCTGCCCGGAGCACGGAGCAATCAGGGATAATTAATATGTTATGAACTCTGCAAGGCTAAGAATACAAGTAGGTTTCAGCTCCCACTGATCAATGTAACACAGATGTAACACTCAAATCAACATTTCTTTCTTTCCTTCTACACAGAGATCCATTTGTAATATTCCAATGTCCCCACATGTATGAGCTGCAACATATTTCTAGATGAATAATTAGTAATATATATAAATATTGATAATAATTTGGAGCGTCACTGAAGATTAAAAGCTAAATTTAGCAGAAAACCCAAAAAGAAAATAGGCAGTAACACTAAGTATAATGTTTGAGAACAATATCATGAACCATTAAAAACAATAAGAATGAAACCAATAGACATCATATAAAGACATATTTAATAAAAGATAGATCAAAACTGTATGTCTTAAAACAAAGTTTTGGCCAAATTGAAAATTTGATTGATGGTGGCGCTAGAGGCAAAGTCAGCGGATCATCAAAGTAGGATTCATCGTTTGACAAACATTCTGAGTTAGATATTTATGTAAGTGAAACATGTCAGAAGAGCATTCAAAGATAAACATTTGTGTATCATCTGTAAAACAGTGATATCTGACAAGTAACAATGTTGCACAGATTTAGCATGTAAAGAGAAAATACAATGGGGCCTCGTACGCTTCCCTGAGGAACTCCGTAATTAAAATCAAATGTGATACAAGACCTACTTTTTTCTCAAGTCTATTAATTAAAATGCTGCGATACATTCTGTCTCAGGCGGTGCTAAAATCTAAAAGAATGAGGAAAACCACTTTGCTGGAATCAACAGAAATGTGTAAGTCATTAATGATCTGATTGTAGCGTGTTAGTCTTTCAGGTTGTCCACAATGTTAGTCCAAATGTCTTATCAACTATTTGATGGATTGGACAAACTTTTGTAGACATTCATTGTGCCCAGAGGATGACTCCTAATGGTGGTCACCTGAGGATGTCTCCTAATGGTG